AGACAGCTATCTTCATCTATCTCTGAAAGATGCTTCAAATGTGGTGGTGCTGGGTTCCCCTCCCCCACCCAGTCAATCTCCACAACCAGGACCTTCTTCCTCATCAGAATAAAGTGAGTATCCTCATTGAGATATGTAAATTAACATTTTTACCTTTCGGTATATGTTCCTAATTTTGGAAATATTATAAACGGTTTATAATCATAATCTGGACCTAAGCTAGCGGAGCCTTGTATGCAAAGTCACCTCCCTCTCCACGTCCTGCTCGGGTATTCAAGCTAGGCGTCTCATTCTGGGGTTTGAACAAAAAGCCGTTTTTTTTCTTCTAAAAACCAATTTTTGTGATATAACCCAGAATGCAACGCCAATAACCAACCCATCTCCACCCCTCGAGATTTGACTTTTGTTTGCTGCTCGCTCTAAGGCAAGAGATGACGGTGGCAGTGCGTATGATGGGGGTGAAGGAGGGGGTTTCGAGAATTGCAATTAAATGCCATGTTGCGACGTGTCCTCCTAATATTACTTATTAAGTAATTATTAGATGTTTTAATTACCTGTATGTTGGCCTGGCAAGTTATTGCTAGGCATTAACATATCTAGTTGTTAAAAGCTAGTATAGACGTTGCATTCTGGGTTATATCACAAAAACTGTTTTTAGAAAAAAACGGCTATTTCTTATGGGGAAAATTGATTCCGTTAACGTCTTGGTTTCCGGTAGCGGAACCACGACGTTAAGTGAGGACTTACTATTCAGTGTTCATGATTGATAAAATAATGATATTGTGAAGAGATTTAGGTTCATGAAGAACAGCACAGTGAAGAGTCAATGACTAATTTGACATTCATCCTCAGAACATATAGTAGCTCCTTTCTAACTCAGACTAATATTGACAGCAGATGGAAGTGGAATCCTCTTATCACAAAACACTGACATAACATAAGTGGCTTATGAAGATTAACTCCTCCTCTCTCTCTTTTTGAGCATTTGTTTCACAGGCAGCGCTGTAGAAATGTAGGTAAATTAGGTTTAATATCATGGGGAGTGATAAAGAAGAGCAATTTCTGGTTGCTTTGGCTTCCTATCTCAGGGAAGTTTAAGTCAGCTTTCATTTGTGGATGTAGTAGGCAAGTGGTACAGTATTTGTCCCAGTCTTAAGAGTTTCTGGTGAACTAGTACTGTGGCACTATGGTTGACCAGCTATGAATAGGCTGCTGACTTTTTGGGCAAAGTGACAGCAGTTGAGGGTAGTGCATTGTTTCCTGGTGTACAGAGGCTTAGTGTCAGTAGGCTGTATCAACATAGTCCATAATGGGCAGTCAGGCCATTTGGATTCTATTTTCATTTATATTGGTTAGATGTGAAATAGCATGTCTTTCTTTTTACCATTGACTCCTCTGCATCATAATTGGTTGCTCTGTACATTTGATATTTCCATGGGTAATTCTAGGAAGGAGTTTCTTTTCTTGACAAATGTCTATTGTTACCTTATGACCACATTTACTGTTAAAACACCCGATGTCAGGCCACATGTCAGACTCGTCTTCCTGGATTCAGATTTTGGGAGTCTGTCCAGAGGAGGATGTGCAATTTCTGTCGATTGGAATAGATGGAATCCATGTTTCCTGTTCCATCCACTTGCATCTTTGTTGCAAGTTATGTACAGCAGTGCCTAGCCAACCATGGGGGTTAGGTTCCTGAAGAACCCCATGGTTGGCAAATCTGCAGTTGGCAAGATTAATGGTTTATGGGAAATAGGGGGTTAGGTTCCATGGCTGCAGATAACACTCGTCAAAGCCTAAATAAGTTGCCTGTTTCTTCATTAAACAATACCTGTACATGTATTGTACATTTAATTAAATTTGAGTCAAATACATATAAAATAGCATAATATAAATTTTACAGTACATCTCCGTGGTGATGGCATTTGCTATAAGATCAGAAAAATTAAGTGTGTGCGCGTGCGTGCGTGCACTTGGCAGATCACCAAGTTAGACTGTCCCTGTTGCTTGTCACTACATCCCTTTAGCTCTCCCCCCTACCAGAACAAGCTGTGTTAGCTATTCTTTTTTTCAACTTGTATTTTTGGGTAGATGTACTGTACGTAATTTTTTTTCTTTACTCTGTTACATGCACATGTAGCAAAAACAAAGCAGCGGGCTCCCATAGTAGGGCTATGACACACTCTTGTAATTTTCTCTCCTTTATTTACTCAAGAAATTGCCCGAGGAAGGAAAGGCTGTGACCTAGATCAGACATAACTAGTCATTATACATTGTACATACAAAACAAGCATCAACTGTCATTATACATTGTACATACAAAACAAGCATCAATTTTTGTCATAATCACATATTGGCACAACACATTACAGTAATACCCCGCTTTACGCATTTTTTTTTACGCGTTTCTACATTTACGTGGTACCCCGCCAGAACCAGAATTCCCACTTTACGCGGTGCATCAACTCATTTACGCGGGAAGCGGCGCGGGCAGGGTGCGCACAAGGTCGCCCAGTCATCAAAACATTACCGAGTTCTTCACCCGCCACCCACCACAGTCGGCCCAAGTCAATGATAGTGAGGATATAGACTTATATGGACTTTGAGGGGTTTGGCAAAGAGGCCCTGCAAGCCTCTGTGGTGAATAGTGATACAATTGATACAAGTGATACAGGAGAGGGCCAATAATCTGCCCTCTGCCTCGGAACCAACCCTCCTTCCCCGTGTGCCCAGGCATCCTTTCTACTAATGTAAGTGTTAAAAAACCTAATATTACTGATATTTCTCTTAATTATTAATTGTGTGTGCATACCATCATAAAATTAAGATGTTATTTTTACTACAACGTAGGTATTGTGTCTGAAAAAGTGGAGTTTAGGGGTCGGCCCAGTCTCTATTTCAATCAATCCCATATGTTCTATTGTTCCATTTACTCGTTTCCCATTTTACGCGGGCCTCCACGGGTTCAATTGACCGTGTAAATCGGGGTATTACTGTATAGTGTGTTTTTTCTCAGCTGAGAAAAGATGCCCCGCCCCTCCTCAAAAGTTATAGCTGATTGGCTGTTGCAAACCTGTCCGATTTTGTCCTGAGTAAGGATGTCTTTCTAAATGAAATTATTCATTATCGTTGCAATGACCGTTTTTTTTACGAGAAAGATATTTAGCTAAATTATATAAAGATACATGCATTCATTATTTCAAACATAAGCACGTAGGAAGTTTATCAGAAGTATTACAGTATACACGAGTTAACTGTTCAACGGGTAGCAATTTCACGCTTTCGGAGGATGCATTTAATATACAGTACAGGGTATACTTATTTTACCCACAATAAGGCATACTAAGACAAATTACATATCAGTAATACTACATTATGCAAAAACTACATTTTAGAAGATCAGAATCACATTGAAATATTACACGACCGTTAGCAGAGGTGGGATAATAAAATATTTAGAATGATAAAGATAAGTTTGATGAGAAAAGAAAATATTTTTTATGTGAAGCTCCAAGCTCCTGTGAAATCTACAAATGTGTATTCGGTGTGTTCTGTGAAGTGAAAACCACAATATGGTTCCAAAATATAAAGTTTCTTTTGCATTCTATGGTGACCTGATAACAAGTTTGAGGAAAAAATCAACTGATGCAAAAATTTCAACTCCATCTTAAGTCACTCTAAGATGGAGTTGAAATTTTTGCAGCATTATTTAATAATGATATTCATCTGAATACTGTAAGCCCTATGAATCAAACTAAGTTATTGTTTTTCAGTAAATAGCAGAAAATAGTTTGCTCTCTTATATTTAAGATGATGTTTACCATCATAACATTGCCAAAATATATTTGAATCAAGTTAGGTAAGTTTAGTTAGGTTATTATGATCCTATTGATTTACATTTTGTTTTTTAGTGATCTACTTACTGGTAATTGTCTGTGTACAGACCAAATGGAATTTTCAAAATAACCCCTTCAGTCAGAGGGACTCACCTGGTATGCCCTCTTGCACCAAGCATCACATAAGAAGGATATACCTGGTATACATCCTTTAATCTCCATGACAGTAGGGAAAGCTGGGAAGGTTTTTTATTATTATATGCAACACATTATTGAATAATATGGCATCAGTAACTTGACTATTATGGTGAGAACAGGGTTATATCACTGAGATATGTAGTAGCAGGTAGTTCTGCTATAACGCGATAATTGTGTTCTTGTAAAATATCGTGTTATAGAAAATCGCGTAATAGAAATAACAGGGCTTATGGAGAAAATAGGGTTAGGTGCAGATTACTCGAAATCGAAAAAATTTAGTAGTTAGCCTAACACAAAGGATAGCACAGTCTAAATAAATGTTACATTCATATCTAATAATGAAATCATACAGTAAATTTAACACTTTACCTTGAAAAAATATGAATGTAACTTGATGGGGGAGAAGGGTGATTTTGAGGTTGATAACATCAAGCTTCTCTTCAAGTGTTATATCCTTTCTTTTACGATAATCACCGGGAATTCTATCATCAGAATGCTTTTTGGAGATATTCTTCTTTACCATATTCACAGTTAATACCACAAAATTGGAGAAATAGTAAGCAAAAATCGCGTTATAGCAAACAAGCGATCGCGTTATACAAATATTGTTCCGAATTCATAAATCGCGTTAGAGCAAATTCGCGTTATCAAAACACGCGTTATAGCAGAACTCACTGTAGTGTGTGGGTGGTGGCAATCAGCTGAGAGGCATGAGGCAGATTTACCTCAACACATCTGTGGCTTCCCTTTCTCTTCTCATGCTGGTCCAGACATCAGAGTGTGGCAGATTTGAGAAGCGCAAGAGTTCCTACTCAAATCAGTATGTGGGGAAAATATAATGAAGATTATCACATAAATGCAGTTTACGCAGGTAATGGCAGTTTGTTTTCAGTCACATTTCTGTGACTTGCAGTCAGAGGGTTAAGAATATAATATAGCACCTATTTTCCTTAACGAGTTTTACAGGTTCCTCAGCTGCTGTCAAGTTCTGCAAGAATAGGTGCAACAAGTGATGATGTTGGATACCAGTACACTCTAAACAACTCTCGACTAGCACTTGCTCAGAGAGCATTCTATGAAGAAAATGGCTTCTTGGTGATTCCCAACTTAGTGCCTGATGACAAAATTGATAAATGGAAGTAAGTTGTGAATAATTATCAGGATATATTTCTTTCATACACAGGATGGCCACTCATCTTTGAAATTGGGGAAATGTTTGGGAATTTATTTTTCCAGGGAAGGGCAGGGAAAATATACTATATTACTGTAGCATTTGCATCATGTCAGGTCTAAGGCTGGTTTCACACTGAAGAGACAAAACTGTTAGCAACACTGCCAGTCATGTCTGATGCACAAAAATACAATGGATCAAATGAGAGCATCCACACTGAAGAACAAGACAAGAGGCATCAAAGCAGGAACAGTCATTACTGGTACTGTCTACTCACCCTTTGTCTGGTCTAGTCACAACTCTTATAACCCAGACAATCAACACTGGTGAATGTGATGCCAAATGATTGAAATCTCTCTTGGAAGAGAGGCGGTAGATTTTTGGTTATTCAATGAAGGAGCATAACGACAGAGGAACTCTAGATAAGCTGTGGTAGAAATTTTCAAAAGAAATGAGTGTTTCTAGTAAATAATATTTTGTATTTTATTAATATGTATACACAGTAGCCTAGCAGCAGCTGACCCACAGGTCATCTTGTTAGTGGGTTGAGATAGTGAAACACAGTACAGGTATATATAATTATTAAACAAATTCCTTACTCTTGAATTAAAAGTGCCAACAGCTTAATCAGCAATGGATGGATTCATTTTGCGAGGGTACATATCCATTACTGTACAATATTGCTATAAAAATAATTCACATTTTGCATGTGTACGTAGAGTGCACACTTCCCACCAATTACAGTAAATTTCAACTTTTTTACATTGAAAGTTGTCATGAAATTGTTTACTTCAACATTGTTGGATCAAGGACATATATTTTTCATATAGCAAATGCAAGTTGATTGAAATTTAATTTCTTTTTAAACTACAGATATAGATATACCTTGTTTATATGTTTGATCTAATATGGAAAGTCAAATGCTTCAGTTGCTTGTTGCTTTTAATCTTCTTTTACCCAAATTAAATTTCTTTATAAAAATAATAGATTCTGTTAATAACTCCCAATCACATTTAAATTATTATGAGAAAGGTGTTTACTCACCTCAAATTCCTCGGAAATCTTTCTTCAGGTGTAATGCTTCTTCTACTGTTTGTGTAACCGTTTATTATTTTATCCACAAGTTGCAGTAAACAATCAAATGATTGAGATTTCATCCAAGTAAAATTTATAAATTTCTCCTCATCCTAGTGGAGCTCTAAAATAAGGTCTGATATTAAATCGATGTTCTTTTTCTCTTGAGAAGATGAATCCACTATCTCTTCTCCCATGGCTCCAAATAACACCAATTTTACACCATATTGCTACTGCACTTTCTTTGTTATTGACAACTGACTGCCCAAGTTCTGTCTTGCCCTTTTGTTCAGTGTGTCTTGTCAGAACAGTTTTGTCTTGTCTGCTCAGCATGAAACCAGCCTACTTGCATTCAGGTGATAGAAAATTTATGAACATTACAAATACCTGTAGTAGTTATTTCTATACAGTACTGTATAGAAAATACATTGTGTGTATGTGTTCCATAAGCACTTCCACAGTTTTGAAGATAAGAACTGAAATTTGGTAGGGATGTATGGGTGGCCTAGGGGCTGGTTGTGCATTATCTTCTGTCCCGTTCATGGACGGAGGGGGGGCGGGGATACTGGCACAACAGAAATGCCACAGTCGCTGGCCAAAACTGACACACTGTCTCTACATATTTTTTTAATAACTGCGGTATGTTTCATAACATATTTATGATAATGTGTTGGTGTTTATGACAATAAGATGGTATTTACGCCAATGTGGTGATATTTATGCCAATGTGGCGATGTTTATGACACTGTGGTAGTATTTATAATAGCCTACCGGTAGTGGTGTTATAGCATTTTTATAAACTTGTATTTATGACCTTTGGTGGTCCCTGTGACTACCGAGGTGTTATAACTGGTCATGTCTATGACTGCGTGGGGTTGAATTTTATTATGACAACGTGGTGATGTTATGATGGTGGTGGTGATGTGACTGTGGTAGTGTCAATGACTGTTCATGTATGACTGTGTGGTTATATATTTTTATAACAATTTCAGACACTGTTATGGGCTCATCTGTATGATGAAAGCTACATTCATTATGGATTCACAACTGTTGTTAAGAATAGGTGTGAACTGCCTCAGTGTGTTTTATGCCACAAGGTCTTGTCACCGAAGTGCATGAAACCAAACTTTCTCAAGCAACATTTGAATAGCTTAGCTATCATCCAAATCCGAAAAGTAAGAATTCTGCCTTCTTCAAGCAAAAGGAAGAGGGACTCAGTCACTCGGGGCAGTTCAGTCAACATAATGAATCTGGAGTATGTGCATCAAACATGGTATCACTGAGAATTACACAAGAAAAACCACACGATCTTGCCGAGAAGTTGATCATCCCTTGCTGTAAGGATATAGACCGTTGTGTCATCAGATGTGATGTCGAGCAGAAAGTCACATCAGTACCTCTCTCAAATGACACTGTCCATCAACGAATAACAGAGATGTCTGAAGACATCAAGCAACAAGTCATTGCTGAAATGCAGAGAGCATCTTTAGTCAAATTTGCAATCCGACTTGATGAGTCGACAGATGTGGCTGGTTGTTCCCAACTACGAGGTCTGTCCGGAAAGTATCCAGCTATTTACTATTAAAAAAAATATTGCTTACCTAGGACAATGGCACCTTAGTCCACTTCAAAGTACTCCCCTTGGGACCGCACACACTTTTCCCAGCGTCCCTTCCACTTTTCAAAACAGTCTGCAAAGTCCTCTTTTGGGATCTCCATCAGCTGCCTCGTTGCATTCTCCTTAATCCTTCACTTCACTTTTCACGTCACTATAGTGGGTCTAAATGGTTGTAAAATGGGAAAGTTGGGGTTGGGTCTTGGGTGCCTGGAACCAATTAGAATAAATCCCATAGGTTCTGTACTTTCGTTATCGTGTTTTTCGTTATCATGCACTCAGTGCGGTCCCAATTAGGCGTGATAACCAAGGGATGACTGTATATATATCCCCCGCGTTATGGAATTTCGCTCCTACGGAATTTGTTAATTATGACCAATAAATTTGCATTACGGCCCGTAAATCCTCCCTTACGGAAATTGGGGTAAATTTTAACAATTAAAGAAAAAAATCACAATATAAAATTATAATTTTTTTTTTAAAATGATAATTTGTTTGGTGTGGATTTCTTGGTGTTTGCTACTGCCAAGCGAGGCGTCGCCATGTGGAGTCACAATATGGGGGTAGAGGGTGTCCGGATGTGGTAAATGTCCAGATGAACCGAGGGACTCGTGTCTGTTACTTAATCTTATGGGGAAAATTAGGTTATGTTCCACAACTACTAAAAGTCAACAGTAATGCTATAAAAATTTTGGAAAAATCATTACAATACTCTAATGTGGGTTAGAAATAAAGGTAATATAATATAAAACAATAAGCATAGATATATGAAGAGCATGGGTGTTTGTGTGGAAAGTGAAAGTGTGTGGAGTGGCTGACTCACCACTCCAGCTGCATCCCATGACATCACATACAGCACAGTAGACACACATACACTGTGCCATGTTTCACAACCATTTATAGAACATTAATGCTATAAAAGTTATAGAAAAATAATTAAAATACTCTAATGTGGCTTACAAATAAAGATAATAGAATAATATAAAACTATAAAAAGAAAAAAGAAATAACTTGGGTGTGAGTGGGGGGAAAGTGAGCTGCCTGACAACTGAGGAGTCCTCCATTCTTCTGCCTCGAACCCTCCCTCCCTCACATACACACACATATCATTTATATAGAAGTTTGGTGTTAATACAGTAAAACCAAAGATACTGTACCGTATTTTATGGCAGGGAGTATTTAGGAAATTTTTTTGTATTTTCCTCCTGTAGCCATAGTTTTCTTAAAATAATATACAGTTAACCCTCACTTTACGCGGTTAATGTAACCCGGAGGGTACCGCGGAAAGTGAGGAACGCGTAAAGTGAATAACATAACATATGGGATTAATTGAAATGGAGTCCGGGCCGATCCCCAAACTCCACTTTTTGACGACACACAACTATGTTGTAGTAAAAATTTTATCTTAACTTTATGATGGTATGAAAAAACAAGTAATATAGAAGAGGTTAGGTTAGGAAAGATAAAGGTTAACATAGGAAAAATAAAGGTAAGGTTAGAAAACTAAAAATTAGGTGTAACACTTACGGTAGTAGAAGAGATGGGTCGGCATACGGGGATGGAGGCTGGTTCCGAGGCAGAGGGCAGATTACTGGCCCTCAGGTGAATCACCATTACTAGGTGAATCACCATCACTGTCACTTACAGTTGTCAGGGCTTCCCTGACAAATCCCTCAAAGTCATCTTCACTGCCACTATCACTGGCTTGGGCTGGCTGTGGTGGGTTGCGGGTGAAGAAATCTGTTATGCTTTGCTGACGGCTGGCGTTGATGTTGTCGTGATACACCTTGATGTACGGCTCCATAGCCTGCACCAGCCGAGTATGGAAGACTTCATAGCGGTCATCGTCATTGTCGCGGGAAAGGAAGGACTTCATCTTCTCTGCACACTCCATGGCACCCTTAATATCACTATGACTTAAATTGTGTTCTTCGGAGAATGACGCACCTTCTTCCTCCTCTTCACTGACGTGTTCTTCTTCCAACATCTCGTCGGCAGTCACTTCAGGATCTCTGATCACCTCCAGGATGTCGTCGTTGGTGGTCTCGGAGAAGCCTGGAACTGTAACAGTCTGCGCAGCTTCTCTGGCAAGGTCCACTGCTGCTGCAACATTCTGAACCTCACCAGTCACAGATTGACTCCTCCTCTCACCTGGTATTCCATGCAACACATGTCTCCATGCGTGACGAATTGTAGCAATAGACAGCTGATCCCATGACTCCACCAAGAAGTCCACAGCTTTCTTGAAGTTAAATACTCTCCAGAATTGTTTGAAGAGTATTTTTTGCTGTTCTAACTGTTGATCCT